GATATTTATTGTGGTTATGCCCTCATGATGGATCATCCCCTTAATCATTATATAGTGCCCTTCTTTGTCTTTTATGGTGGATTTTGTTTTAAAGTCTATTTTATCTGAGATTAGTATTGCCACTCCTGCTCTTTTTTGGTAGCTGATTGATTGATATATTTTTCTCCATCCTTTGATTTTTAAGAAATTTACATCGTTCTTTCTAAGGTGTGTCTCTCGTAGACAGCATATTGATGGATCCTGTTTTTTTAATCCATTCTGTCAATCTCTGTCTCTGTATGGGTGCATTTAGGCCATTTATGTTCAGTGTGAGTTTATTGCTGTCATTTTGTAGTTTTTTTTTTTTTTTTTTTTTTTCCAGTGCAGACGTTTTCTTTGTTCCTCTTGCTCTCCTGTGCTGAATTCCTTTGGTTTGTGGATTTTTGTTTTTCATTTCTTTTCTTTTTATAGATTTTGTTTGTCTTCTTTATTTTGATGAGTAGGTTTGTTAACTTTCTTTGTGGTTATCTTGAAATTTACCCTTGTCTTCCTAGGTTTGAACCAGTCTATTATTAGTTGGTATTGCCTTGCCTTCCTCTCCATTAGAAAGTTCTATACCTACACCATTTATTCCCTCTTTTATTGTTCTGACATTGTTGTCATTTACAGATTAGCTTCTCTGGTTCCCTGTTGTAAATCTTTTGGTTTTGAATAGTCCTTGAGAGTTCATTTTTGAGGCTTAGTGTTCCAGGATTGATGTTTGTCTCTGTTTTACTTAGTTTTTCGGGTCTTTGCTGTAGAGGGACGGCGTGGTGTTTCTGTCTATAGTGCCGTGTTGGCTCTGCCTCCAATCTTGTGTATTTCTTATTGTCATCATTTACCTTGGTTAAGTTGTGCACACTACACCCACATTCATTATTGCCTTTCTCATCACTTTCTTGAGAATGATTCCCCCTCCCTCCCCCTCCCATCCCAGGTAACCACCAAAGAACATTGATTTCAGTATGTATACCTATTTTTGTCTTTTTATAGAAGTGGTATCGTAAATTTATCCTTTTGTGCCTGACTTATTTCACTCAGCATAATGTCCTTCAGATTCATCTATGTTATGTTTTTTGGATTCATCATTATTCTTTATAGCTGCATTGTATGTGTATACCACATTTTGTTTATTCATTGATCTGATGATGGGCACTTAGGTTGTTTCCATCTTTTTGCTACTGTAAATAATGCTTGAGTGAACATAGGTGTGTGTACATCTATTCATGTCACTGATACTAGATCTCTAGGGTATATACCTAAGAGTAGGATTGCTGGATTATAAGGTATTTCTATTTCTAGCTTTTAAAGGAAGTGTCATACCATTTTCCACAGTGGTTGTACCATTTTACAATCCCACCAGCAGTGGATAAGGGTTCCAATTTCCCTACATCCTCACTAGCATTTGTTGTTTTTGTTTTTTTGATCAGTGCCATTTTTGCAGGGGTGAGATTGTATCTCAGTGTAGTTTTGATTTGCATCTCTCTAATGGCTAATGATCACAAGCATTTTTCATGTGTTTGTTGGCTACTTGCGTGTCCTCTTTGGTGAAGTGTCTATTCATGTCCTTTGCCCATTTTTTAATTGGGTTGTCTTTTTGTTGTTGAAGTTTTCTATCTATTTAGAAATTAAACTCTTGGCAGAGATATCCTTCCCAAAGATCTTTTCGACTTGTGTTTTAAACGCAACATCTGTGTTGAGATTTGATTAGGGGGAGAGGGGAAGAGCAGAAATACAGAGACTAGTTAGGAGACCTTTACAATAATCCAAGTGAGAGATGATGCTGGGAATAAGTAGCACAGAAGGTCTTGAGAAGTGGTCAATTCTGGATATGGTTTGAAGAGAGATACAAAAGGATTTACTGATGGATTAGATGCAAGACAGGAGAGAAAGATGAGACAAAGGTGATTTGAACAGGTATGAAAACTGAGTTTATTGTGGACAATGGAAAGTTTGATACACATTAAATATCTTTAATATCCACATAGAGATGTCGAGTAGACAGCTGGAAATGAGACTGGAGTTCAGGAGAGAGGTTCAGGTTGAAGCTATAAATATAGGAGACATTGTAGAAATAATATTTAAAACTACAGAACTGCCTGAGATCACCTACGGGGTGAATGTAGACAGAGAAAAGGCCCAAGGACTTGGGCACTTCAATTAAAGATTAGGAAAAGGTAGATTCAGCAAAAACTGAGAAGCTGAGAAGTTGGAGGAAAATACCAAGGGAGTATTTGTCATGGAAGCCAAATTAAGAAAATATTACAAGAATGCTGACGAGAAGCTGAGCAAGAAGACTGAAAATTGGCTATTGGATTTAGCACATAGAGATCATTGATGATTTTGACAAGAGCTGTTTCCATGGAGTAAAAAAAAAAGAAACCAATTGCCGTCGAGTTGATTCTGACTCATAGAGACTTTATAGGACAGAGTAGAACTGTTCCAAGGGGCAGCTGGTGGATTCAAACCGCTGATCTTTTGCTTAGCAGCCGAGCTCTTAACTACTGTGCCACCAGGGCCCCTTCCATGGAGTGCTGGGGGTAAATACCTAATCACAGTTGGTTCCAAAGAATGGGAAAGGAGAAATTAGAGATGGCAACTATAAACAACTCTCTTGAGTTTCTGCTGTAAAGGGGAGAAGAAAAAGGGAGGGTATAGTAGCTGAAAGGTGTAGGAAAAAATTTTTTTAAGATGAGAGATTTTACAACATATTTGTATGCTAATGGAAATAACTGGAAGAGAAAATAGACAATGCAGAAAAAAGATAATTGTAGGAATCAATGTAAAGCTAGAGGGCTGGATAGGAGTAGGGGTGGTTCATCCCATTAGTAACAGGATGAAAGTTAGTCCACGAGTATCAAAGCAATTGGGTCCACAGATTTGGTGGTGGTGGTGGTGGCGCTGGCGGCAGGGTGGAGAGGGTGTGAAAGTTCTCTTCTGCTTTTACTTTCTTAGCAAAATAAGAAATACAGCAATCAGCAGAGTGAGGGTGAGGGGATACTGGAGATGTGAGGATGGAGAGATGTGAATATAGCCACAAAATCAACAGGTGATATTGATAGAACTTAACTGATTAGACGTAGGGATAAGTGAGAGGGAGGAGACAAAGAACAGATTTCTGGTTTAGCAACTGGGTGAATGGAGGGTGTCTTTCATTCAGATAGGGAAGCCTGGGGGAGGAGCAGGCTTGGGAGGGGAGAAGGGTTTGGTTTTGACGTGGGGCATCCAAGTGGGCCTAAGTGTCTGAAGCTCAGAAGGGAAACATGAGGTAGAGAAATAGATCTGGGAGTTGTCAACATAGGATGGTCGCTGAAGCCTTGGGAGCTGATGAGAATGCCCAGGGAAAACACACAGACGGACAGTAAAAGAGGGCAAAATCTGAGTGGTCAGAGAGGTAAGAGGAAACTATAGAGTGTGAGGTTACAGAAGATAAAGGAAGAACATGTCAAGGAAGAAAGTGGTCAGGAGTGTCCAATGTTATAGAAAGTCAAGTGAGATAAGGACTGAAAAGTCCCCACTGGATTTAGCAATGAGATGGCTGGTGACAACCTTGGCTGGTTCAGTGTGTGCATATGAGGGCAGGGGAACCAGAACTTAGAGATGAAGTGAATGGGAAGAGAATGTAGACCACTCTGAAGAAGCCTGGCTACAAAGGGTAGAAAGTGGTAGCTGGAAGGGAACATGGTGGTTAAGGTTTTTGGTATGTTTGATGTTTTTGAAGGATCCTGAATTGGTTTAAAGTGATAGGAAGGAGTCAGCAGAGGAGTAAGAAACAAAGGTGAGCAAAGGGGCGGTAGGCAAAGGGCTAGGATCCAGATTCACACAGGATGGACACCTCTTCCTCTGAGGTGGACAAGCTTGAGGCAGCAGCAAGTGAAGAGGCTTTCATGATTGCTATCTTCTCTGAGAGGTGAAGGGATTGTCGCTTCGAGATTAGAGAATGCTTGGAATAGATTCTGGGAAAGAATGAGAAGGCTGACAAGCAAATAAGGGGATCATCAGGTAGCCTTGGGGGCCTAGTTAAAAGGTAAAGCCCTTATGTTGACAGTTCACTCTACCTCTGCAGAGCCCTCATAGTTGCTGCTGAAGCCACAGCACCACCTCCCCACCCCGGCCCAGCAGCCTTCCTGCTTCCTCCTGCTGGACCTCCACAGCAGGGCCCTATGTTGCTGCCCAGCAATGTTCCCTGCCCTTCAAGCCTATCTTTTACCCACATGTGATACCCTTCCCTCCATGCTTACCTTGCCAATTCCTACTCACCTTTCCCTACTGGGGTCAGGCCAGAATCTCCCCAGAAGCCTCCCTCAACTGCTCTCCTCAACCCCCTGTGCCCCCTCATCCCAGAGCTAAGAGTTTCTTCTTTGCACACAAATAGCCCTTCCCATACCTTGCTCACAGCATGACACATACTGCATGTGAATCACTGATTTACTTATCTGCCTCTCCCACTGGACTTAAACAACTTGAGGGCAGAAACTTTTCACCTTTATAATGATAACTACTTAGTAGGTTGGAGTCCCCAGGTAGTGCAAACTGTTACCAAACTCGGCAGCTGTGGAAAAGTTGGAGGTTTGAGGCACTTTGGAAGGGCTGGTGATCTTAAATTCCCCAAAATCAGCCATTAAAAACCCTATGGAGCACAGTTATACTCTGATGACACACATGGGGTCGCCATGAGTCAGAACTGACTCCATGGCAACTAAAATGAACTCAGTAGGTGCTCCATAAATGTCTGTGAAATGAAGTAGGAGAAAAGAACTGAAGTCCAAAAATAACACAATTCTACAAGGCCATGATGTCCCCAGCCCTGTGTCACATGCAGATGCTTCTGATGATGAAAATCAAGCCACAAAATATAGAAATATCCCTTTGGTCTCAACATTTCACCCCCTTTCTTTTCAGGAAGAGACCTCCTACAGGGAGGAAATACCTTATCCTATGCAGTAACCGTTCCCTCTCCCACCAAACACACACAGCCTGAAGCATTGTGAAGAGGTATTTTATTGTAAAAACTGACAAATCTTATTTATATAAATCAGTCACTCTCCACTCCCAAGTTCTATCACCTGTGCCTGGGAGCAGAGTCTGTGGTATTTTTCTGGACTTAAGGTGTAAGCTGACATGGTGTTCAAGAACTTGTCCAGTGGGCAGAGCCCTTCAGGGCATCCTTCTGGCACCTGCTCCTGCAGAAGAGACATGACTCAGCAGGTCCACTGAGGACCCCTTCCTTCTGTTTTCAGCTGAACCCAGAGGTCTGAGAGGCTTTCTCCCAAGCAGTATGTCTGCACACATGTAACAGCCAGAAAGGCCTCACTACCCAATCAGCTTCCAGATTAAAAACACTCGCTCCTGCTTGTAAAAGGAGCTCAAGAAATGTTTGTTGAATTGATGGGGAAGACATTGTCAAGTTATATCCTTGAGCTGGGCGAGCTTAAGGTCTCATGATTCTCTGGACACACCTTGATGAAGCTGCCAAGACACCAAGAGTGCTGGCAACACCTCCCAAAGACACCATTATTAACTTTCAAATAGGCCTCATAGTCAGGATGCCGCCATCCTGGCAGACACTCAGGAGAAGAGAAGGAAAGTGGCCCTGTAACTAGGAGGCCCTGTAACAGAACTGAGCTAAGGCCCACGTCCCAGCCCGCCACCATGTACCAAGTCCTGCCCTGTCCCTGGGTCACCTAATAGGATTCAGAGAGATGATTATATCAATGGAGACTCCACGTGGCCTGAGGAGGGAGACTTGGTGCGTAAAGGGAGACCAAGGTGTGTAAAGCTGAGGGGAGGGTGCCTAATCACCACCCAATCCCACCTCAGAGGTCTTACCTCCCCATGGTAACAGAGCCGCACAAACCACTCCTTGGATTCCTGGTGCTGGTAGAGTTCCATGGTCAGGTCAACAGCAAACGGTGGCCATTTGTGGTCAAAGATCCCCAGGGCCATTAAGAGAGGCATGAGGGTCACATCATGAGCTGCATAGAGGTACAGCTTTCTGCAAAGAAGAAACAGTTCTCCACATTTCTTCACCTTAGGACTCTGGAGGCCAGCACTCTGCCTGCCTTTAAGTAAGGCATAACATTAGCCTCAGAAACCAGGTGACATCTAGAAATCAGTTGAGCACGGCTTAAAACACCCTTTAAGCAGATAGTGGGGAGAACCCTATTCCCCACTCCTCATGTTTTCATGAGAAGGGACCCCCCCCCACCACCACCAACCGCCACAGGAGTAACTCTCTATGCCTCCCACCTGCCTGGTTACTTACTCACTTGCTCACTCATTCACTTACTCACTCCTCCACTGCTGAGTTTAGAAGAAGGAACTGAGCATGTGTAGTTTAGGCCCTATCTTCTCTCTTTGGGACCTGTCTGCTTATGGCAAATGTTCTTCTACTCTCAGCCGTATGTGTGTTTAATAGGGCAAGCTCCGCCCCTTGTTGGGAAAGCTTACAGTTTTATAATGAATTAAGTTCATTTTAAACGAGTATTAATAAACTCATTTAGCCCTGATCACATTCTCCAAATGGCTTTAATCAGTAATAAAGGTACCATTTTAATCTATATCTGTTTGACTCCTGCATCTATCTTTTGGGCACGATCAATGATATTATTTATTGCCCCCCCCCCCCCCAGAAGACCAGCATTAGACCCTGCGGCATTCCACAGATAACAAGGCCAAGGGTGGCAAGGTGGCAAAAGCATCAAGAAATGTACTGTCATTGCAAGTACTGTGAAGGGCAGAGAAGGGTACTCATATGGTTTCCTATTAGAAATCCTGGCCCTAAGTCCCTGCATGTTCCTGTTTTAGCTCTCCGTCTGCTACCCCTCCCGCATCCATCACGAGTCTCTGGGTATAATTTGTCTCACTCAAGAAGGCAGCCTACAACAGTGTTTCTCCAACATTAAGGTACATACAAATCACCTGGGGGTCTTCAGCCTGGGGCCTCAGACTCTAACAAGCTCCCGGGTGATGCTGAAGCCATGCATTTGCAGACTACGCTTTGAGTAGCAAGTGGTCCCCAATCTGGGGTTTCAGGCTCTATGAAGGTAGCAATGGAGGTTCATGAACACTTCCAACAGCTTCCAATGCCTAACAGATATCATCCCCTTCTACACACTCAATGAAGGCATTCAAGCTAAACAACATATTAAGCAATTATCTTTGTTTTAGGCTGTTATGATATCTAATCAGTGTGATATCGTAATTAGCTACTCTGTTTGCCATATGTTCAATTGGTAAAAAATGGAAAAATAAATTTAATAAATTCAGGGTTCTTTTTTGCAAAATAAACATTTCAAAACATGGTAGGAGCGGTGTGGCAGGAAGAAAAGTAAAATGGTGGTGAACCTCTGAGGGACCCAGGGCCTCTTAAACATCTACCTTCAGTCACTGACAGCCTGATTTTTGTCCCCTAAGACTCGGGTTCCCTCCCCTTAGCTAAAGGCCACCCACCTCCCCCACAACCCAGCAGCACAAAGCAGAGCTGTGCCAGGTACCTGATCTTGCTGGGTGGAGTGGCAGGATCCACGGCTTTCAGGAGATTGTTCTCCAGGATGTGGAGGAAAGGGCCTACCGCCAGCTGAATACTTTCCCTGTGTCAAGTGAACAACACTGAAACACACAGGGGCACTCAGCACAGGGGATATAGGCTGGTTCTGCCCCCGAGGACCTCAAGGGCCCAACCAGACAAAGCTGAGAAAAAGACAAGGAACGCACAAGGGAAAGTGACAGGAGAGAAATGGTGCTGCCTCTCCTGTGAGGCTTCTCTGTGAACAAAGACTTCCAGCAACAAGAGCAACCAAGATGTGGGGAGGGTGGGTGGAGTACAGGGGTGGCAACTGGGATAAGGCATGAAGAATGAGGCCTTTAGGAACAAAAGAACAAAGCTGGGAAGGACAGAGTGTCAAGATTGCCAGGAATTCCAGGAGACCCTTAGAAAAGAGATCAGAAGGAAATATTATAACAACATCATAAGCTATGCTTTCTATGTGCCATCCCTCCTTTCGAGATTAGACCACAGGGGCTTTCTTATTATTATCTGATTTAACAAGAAGTTCAGAAATAGTGCTCCCAGGGCTGGCTCTGTGACTCTACCATTTTCATTCTCAGGCTTGCCACCTCATGATCACAAGATGGCTACTGCAACTCAAAGCATGTCCTCTCACAGTAGTAAACAAAGTAGGAAGACTGGGGTGGGGGCAGGGAGGGTGGCTAAAAGGCTTTGTTTTTGTGCCTCTCAACTCCATCTAAGAGGAAAAAACCTCTCCCAGAATCCCCAGAACTATCCCTAACCCAATCACCCACAAAAGGGAACAATCTTTATTCATGGTGACTGAGTAAACTGCCACCTTTATAAATCAAGAAATGTTGAAGCAATGCATGAAGAGTAGTAGGTAACCAACACCATATGCGATGTTCTCTTTCCAGAAGAGTGTGTGCAGGCCAAGCTGAGCTGGACTGCATTGTGAGGCTGTAACCACTTGGCCTTGAAGAAATAACAGTTTTATGAGACCAGGGCTAATTGGAATGGAAAGGAAGATGGATCAGGTCCTGTTTTAAATGCTTATACCAGAAGAAAGCAAACTATAGCCATAGGCCAAATCTGGCCTGCCTGTCTGTTTGCATATTGTCTATGGCTGCCTTCATGCTACAAGGCAGATACGAGTAGTTGTGACAGAGACTGCATGGCCTAAAATATTTACTAAGTGTATTTGTGTTGGAGGGGAGACAGTGGGTGACAATTTAGGTCTGGAGGGAACAGAAGAGGGAAGCTGGTTAAGTTGCAGGCAGTGGCAGTAGGCTGAGTGGCTTGGCCAGAGCCTCTTGAATACCCAAGGCTAGTGCGCCAGTGGGCACGCTGACTCTGAGTGGGAGTAAAGCAAACAGAGGCTCTTATTCTTAGGCAGCAAACCATGTAAATTCTCCAACTGTTAGATACTTTTTCCTCCCACTCACCTTTCCCAGAACAATTCATCTACCTCCCATCTCCCCGCTCTGCCAAGGTACCTATTCTGAGTTGAATGCTCTCAATCCATCTCAGAAAAAAGTGTCTTTCAAAATTGTGTAAGAGATAAACATTCATTCTAGTGGTCAGGAAACAAGCTTTCTACAAACAGAGCCCTAACTAGCAGTAATATAGAGAAAACATAGGATTTGTAGTCAGAGGGTCTGGGTCCAAGTCCTGCCTCGGCCACTTGCAATGGAGCCTAGGCAAGGTAACCACCACTTCTTGGGCCCAGCTTATTCGTCTATAAAGTCAGGGATAATGACAGCTACCTCACGGTAAGAATGAGAAAATGATTTGTAAATTGTAACATGATGAACAAAGTTAGCCACAATTATTTTTCCTCCAGCTTCCCCCACCCAGATCCTTTGACACTTAAAGCAAAAGGAAAAAGTCAGTGATGGAGAAAACACACTAGGGTGGTGCATCCTTGATCTATATCACAGTGAATAGAAGCACTAGGTCACCAGTCCCAGCTCCAGAGGTACAAGGACCAAGCCCATTCAGCAACAGCAGAACAGGGTCGTTCCAGCCTCTTCACACACAAAGATGCCAGTTGGCAGGTGTGAGAGGACCTGATGAGACCTTCTTCCCCACACACTGGGAAGCCTGGTCAAGTGTAACTTCATGCCAGCAGCTAAAGGAGCCCCTTACCTATCTTCTCTTTGCAGGATGTACAAGGCTGTGTCCACAGCTCTCTGCTCAATCATCCATGCAAATCTCTTCAGTGCAGGGCAGCTTGGGAGGCTGTGTACCTGAAAGGGCCACAGGTCCAGTTTGAGAAAGAAATGCTGAGCCTGGTAGCTGACCACCTGGTAAGCCTGGCAGCTGACCACTTCCATGGAGTCTACAGGATCTTCTCCTGGGGAGAGGTTTATAGCACAAGAAGCAATGCTTCAAGCTAGTCCTAGAGATCTGAAGGCCCAGGGGAAAAAAAAAAACTTTCCCCTCCATTTCTGATGGTTTCCCATCCACTCCAAAAAAAAAAAAATTTTTTTTTTAAATACATATTTTTAAGCTTAAAAAAAAAAAAAAAAGAAATGCAATACAGGCAAGTTATTCATAAATTTCTGCTTGGCCTTCATTTTTCCCAAAATGATTTCTAAAAAGCATGCCGTAAAAACACTTTAACTCTTGCCGGCTTATCTTACACATTCTTGCCTTATCATCTTACACCTTCTCGCCTTACCATCTTAAACTTTCTGGCCTTAACCATCTTAACAAGAGACTCATGGTTCACACATAAGTACAGGTGCATTTCTGCCTTCAGGTGCACTGTCACTTTCACAAGAGAAGGAAGGAGGATCCGGGCTATTCTTCCTTTGAGTGTCTGACTTTTAAATCTAGACAAGCATTTCCCATTGTGTGTTCTTCAGCATTTATTACATAAGAAAAAGATTCCATGGCTAAATAAGTTTGGAGAAAACAGACTTAAACCAGATTAACCAGCTTTTTTTTGCTACAGGCTTCTCCCAAAAGTGATACAATAAGCAAGAGTTCCAAAATTTTTAGATGACAATCCTTCCCTACCCACTGCCCACCCCACCCTACCCACTCATAACACACTCACATCATGGGGACAGGGATTCTGGTGAACACGATTCAAGGAACTCTGTGCTAGAGTTCACTGTCTGTACTCCTGAGCGATGGTCTTCCTTGACTGCTCTCTACCCCTCAGTCCCCATGTCCATTCCATCTGCAAGCCCTATCACAGCTACCTCCAAAACAGGAGGTTTCTAGCACTTCTCTCCACCATAGTTCTAACTCAGGAGCCGGTCCATCCAGGTGCCCAGGCCTAGGGCAGACAGGCATCCCACCTGCTCAGCAGCCACATTGTCCAGGAGGATGAGGAAGTCCACCCCGTCACTACTGCCAATGCCCATCACTTCCTTCACCTTTTTCAGATCCTCTGAGATTCCTGGCTGCAAAGAGGCAGTCTGCCTCCGGCCTCTGCGAAATGAAGAAATTCCTTACATGGTATAGCGCTTAAAAGTTCACAAAGTGTACTTCATTCAACATTTGGGATCTCATTTAATCCTCACAACAACCTGCTGGTGTTGGCTAGTATTACTCCCATTTTATAGATGAGTAAGTTGAAGCTCCATGGGGTTAGAAGACTTGTAAAAGGGCTAGACTCAAAGCCTGAATTTTCCAAATCTCAATCTAGTATGTTTTCTTTGTCTGAAAACAGCATGCTCTTTCTTCTGTAAAACACATGCCATATAGTCTCAGTGTAGCTGAGAAATACCTGAAACTAAAAAGTGCCATCAGTCCAAACTGATCCTTCCTACGAGGCAGTACATCGGTAAGAGAAGAGGAACCGGTATCTTCTGCTTGAACACCTGGATTTGCAGTGTGATGACTGACACAACCGTCTTTCATTTAACCTGTCTGTTTTCCTCACCTGCCCTGCCTGATGGAACATGGCTATTAGGAGGATAATGCTTTGTAGACAACAAAGCCCTACCCACAGCTGTATAAATCATCTCTCCATCCCAGCACGGGCTTTTCCCAGGCTTTCTGGACCTTCACTATGAGCCTGCCACTGTGAGTCAGAGCTTCCTCACTTCCTGGACAGTGGACATCAGACCTGGAGAGTAATTCGATTCCTCCCTAGGCACTGTTAGCCTGGATGGACCCTCAGTACACGCAGAGTCTTGCCAGCAAAGCTGTCGTCCCCTGCTCCCAGAGGCCGTTACCTGGTTCTTTGCCTCATGCTCCAGCAGTTTTGGGAGTTGGGGTACAAGACTTCAGAGCTTGCTTCATCAGTGTGGATGATGATGGGGCCTACAAGGAAGGAAGCACAGGCAGGAAGAGGCTTCAGCTTGGGTCTTCCCAGCATCCACACCCCTTCTAATTCGGTCTAGAAAGAGGGCTGTTCCAGGAGGCAGGTGATCAAGGCTACTCCCTAAGAACAGCAAACGTCTTCAACATGTCCTGGCCCTGCCTGAGCAATGGAGAAAAAGCAAGTAACAGTCTTGTTCTGTCTAGCACAACCCCTCCTTTCGGGCCACAATGTACATATGACCTGGATCAGACTGGCACTTCCTTGCCATGTTCCAACAGGTAGCCTGGAAAATTCCAGCCTCAGAGCACTACCAGCAGCTGGACATTCTACTGAAGAATGAGTTGTTCCTGACTTTATCAGAACTAGCTTCTTTTCTTGCTTCCCAAAGTTCAACCCTATGGACAAATATGGTGACTTATCACATGACAAACAACACTATGACCACGAGGTTGGGGAGTGTCCAAATCCTCTCAGACCCCATGGCCTAGCACAACTGGAAAGCAAGGTTCCTAGATAAACTCAAAGATTCAATTACAAACAATGCTTACATACCTCACAGCAACTCCCTGCTGCTCAGGGCTCATAAGTACCCTTGGGCCTGCCTATCAATGCTTAAAGAAGGCATTCTAACACCTTCCCATGCTTTTCTCTGTGCCGGAGATGGCCAGGGCCTATGGTAGTTTCCCTGTAACTCAGCCAACCCCCACAACCTTTCCACATAGTTCAAGCCTGACCTTGTCTGTTGGCAAAAGAAATAGCTCCCATCAGCAGCTTGCTGGAGCTCACTGAGGTCAGTCCACAGAGTGCTTAGAATAAGAGCTATTATTCCCAAAGATATTATTGCTAGTCAAAACCCCAGGACTTTAAAAGTAGCCTACGGTAACTTCATTAACCAATTGCCATCGAGTCGATTTCAACTCATAGCGACCCTATAGGACAGAGTAGAACTGCCCCATTGGGTTTCCAAGGAGCGCCTGGTGGATTCAAACTGCTGACCTTTTGGTTAATATAACTTCACTAGAACGTTAGAATCTGAGCACACTTCGCTGGTCTGGACAGGAGAAGAAAATCACAGCAGCAGTCATAAGATCTGCAGTTTAGTCTTGAATCCACAGCTAAGTGGCCTTGGGAAGTCACTTCCCTTCTCGGGGCTCAAGTTAAAAAACTAAAACCAAACCCATTGCCGTTGAGTTGATTCCGACTCATAGTGACCCTACAGGACAGAGGAGAACTGCCCCACCGGGTTTCCAAGGAACAGCTGGTGGATTTGAACTGCTGACCTTTTGGTTAGCAGCCAACCTCTTAGCCACACAGTTTGCTCATCTATAAATTGAAGGAGTTGGACTGTAGCAGTGATTTTCAGTTGTTTTTAAAGCAGTGGGACTTTTTCCCTCCCTCCCCCCATTGTTATATAAAGTAATGAAAGAAAAGGTGTTGATGGTTGCAAGATGGGGGGGAGGGGCAAAACATAGTCCGTTTGCATGCCCCACCCCCTCTTTTCCTATAGCTCCTGAGACCCCTTTGAAGAATCTTGAGACCCCTCAAAAGAAACCAAAAGATCAGATGTCCTCTCCAGACATGTACGTCCTCTGAGAGAGGTGGAGCACAGAGGTGAAGAGTATGGATGCTGAAACCAGACTGCCAGAATTTGAAATCCAGCTCCACCATTTACCAGTTTTTATGACCCTGGGCAAATCATTTAGCCTCTCTGTGCCTTAGTTCTCTTTATCTGTAACATGGGGATAATGATACCTATCTCATAGTCACACCAAGAATTAAACACGTTAATATATGCAAAGCTCTTAGAAAAATGCCTGGTGCATTGTTAGCCCTGGATAACAAAATAACAAAAATAAATGTGATTTAAAAATCTAATATAACACATGGTAATTGGCCTCTGCTTGGAGTCTGATATTAGATTCACAGTTTACAGTAAACATGGCACACTGCAGGCACTCAAATATCTGTTGAATGAATGATTGACCAAGTGGGGCAGACCAGCAGTCCCCCACAGTTTTGTTCTCTGCAGCTTACACATAACCCTTTGATTTCTCCAGGATTTTCACTCCTGAAGCAACAGCCCAAGTTTGCATCACTTTCATTAATAGTGGCACCTTCTGGGGTTCCTTGATCTATTCAAGTCCCTTGATACTGGGCAAAGCTTGAAAGTAATTATGACAGAAGTCAAACTGGGGTGCAGGGAGCTGCTACCTAGGCAGGCACACGACAGGCTGGTTATAATACCAGTTCCTTCCCTGCTGGAAACCTGGGGCGATCTCAGTCTGATATCTGCCTGTAGATGAGGTCACCCCCAAGAAACATCCTTCCTAGTCCAGTCACACTTTTGGTATCTCTGAGGACATTTGAAGCACTTTCAGGTCAGGCATTGTGGGTTACTCCTTAGCTCAAGGGCTCCCAAGAAGTAAGCGGCAGCCATCCAGTTTGCATTATGTAACCGAGACAGATGGTGCTTGTGTTCAGCAGCCAGCTACAGCCAGAATTAGCAGCAGCACCCAGCCCAGACAGGGGTAGCGCCTGCCTCCTCTGGCCTGAAGGTCCTATTATTTTACATATTTTTTTAAAAGCCTGATGGAAATCTTATATCTATTCAAGATACTGCTGAAAAAGCTAAACAAAATAACAAGAACCTTTGCCTCATGGTACCATTTTAGTATTTTAATATTGGTGAGGTCATACTGATCTGAAATTCAGACCAGCAGTTAAATGTAAATTTGAAACGTTACAAATGACAAAATACAGCTTCATTTGGTAGTTAAAAAGCCTTCAATACGTGGGCTCCATGAGGGAAAATAATAACCGTGGTTCTCGGTGGTGAAAGACTGGGAACCACTGACTGCAATCATTAACTGGCTGAATATATCAAATCCAAACTCGACAGACATCCTCAACTAGGAAAGGCTGAACAGAATACTGTCCATACCATCTGGATCATGCTGTGGATTAGCACCAAGACCAGAACAGCAGCAGCAGGCATGGTTCCCAGCTAAGTGTCCCTCCTGGCCTCCCTCCTTCTCAGCAGTGTTCACCTAAGCAAAAAGCCCCCTACTTCGCTCACAAGACCTGGTGAGGGCTGCCTTATGCAGCGCATGTAGAAGCTTGAGAGAAAAAGTCAGGAGCCAGAGGCACATAAGAGCAGCTGATGCACTGCTGCTGATGTGGAGGTCAGGCTGGCGAAGGCAGCCTAAAGTCAGACAGGAAAGGGCCCACTAAGTAGGTATACCAAGGTAGCCACGTGTACAGGGAAGAGACCAAGGGAACAGGTACCGACAGAGAGAAGATCTTTGGAAGTAAGAAGAATAAGCTCCTCAGGGGCAAGGGACAAGTGTGGACCCCAAACTCGAACCTTCTTTCTGACGTTGGAAAAGCCCAGCCAGCAAACACCGGGTAGACTCCAGATTCCGATTTATGTTAGTGGAACGGACGCTGGTAAAAAAACAAAAAGGTAGAGACACTTATAAAAGGAACATTTAATTATATACACTCTATCCCTCAGAGCAGGTGGGAGGCTTTCAAGACTATATGGGGTTTCTCTCTGTGGGATGGATGCCCCAAGGGAATTCCTGAAGGCCAATGACTGTGATAGCGCAGTGGTTAAGAGCTATGGCTGCTAACCAAAAGGTGGGCACTTCAAATCCACCAGCCGCTCCTTGGAAACCCTATGGGGTAGTTCTACTCTGTCCTATAGGGTGACTATGAGTTGGAATCGACTCAACGGCAACGGGTTTGGTTTTTTTTTTTTTTAATGAGTGTTAACTCCAGTGACCATCTTTTACACAAGGGTAACTGCATTGTGACAACCCCAAGTTGTCCCCCAAACTACTCTGGGTGAGAGTGAGAACCATCTGGGGGGTTAGAACAGGTTCTGTCATGCTCAAGACCTTCAACTGGGTGCAGCATCCCTTTCTCAAGTAACTCACGAGACCTCCAGTGGGTTGAAGGTTGGTGAAAGAAAGGGGATGTCCTCCACATAGCTCTTCCTTAGCCTCTCTCCCAAGGCAAACATCTGCTGCATGCCCACCTTAGTCAACTGCCCAGCAAACATGCCCCCCTGAGGTGGGGGAGAAAAGGAGGTAAGAATAAAACAACTGATGGCCTGATGAACCCAGCCCAGAGGAAACCACTGAAGCTTTCCAGTGGGCTTCCAAGAGCAGGAAAGCAATACTCACCTTCAGTGTGGTCTCATGGTATTCAGAGTCGAAAGGAGAATGTGGTTTCAGGCCACCAGCCAGATCAGTGACTGTGTAATCAAACTGAGTTTGAGATGGGACCTCTAATAGCTGGGGGTTCCACTCTACCTGTTGTGACTACAAAAACCAACACATGGTTAAAAATGATCACTGAAACTGACAGCACTAACATCCAGCAGCACTCAGAACACAAAGCTGGAATCACCCCATGTGAGGTGAAGAATCACTGCAGAAAACAATTCGGCCTTTGTTCTTGGGTGGTTCAAGGACCACACCTGAAGCCAATGAGTGGGAGGCTAACAAGCCAAGAGGGACCACCTGGTGGCCCAACATTGACTGGCCTCAGGAGGCATGATGTAATCTACCATGACCACATGGTGAGGCCAATAAAGACCCTGAACATGAAGGCTCAGAGGCCTTCCTGGTTGGCGAGAACATCCGCTCTAGGGAAGGTAGCATGTCCCTTGGGACATGGAAGCTTTGCATTGGGAACTCTCCCAGACCTCGCCCTACGTGTCTCTTCATTTGTATCCTTTTTGGTTGTAATAAATCTGTATCGTAAGTATGGTATACTCTCCATGAGATTCTGTGAGTCGTTCCAGCGAATTATTGAACCCAAAGGGGTAGTGAGAGACAGCAGGGTAGAAGGCTGGGATGTCATGTGGACTCCTGAGCTTGCAGCTGGCATCCTGAAGGGGTAGTGGGAAACCAGTCCTAAATCTGTGACCAGCAGGGCAGAAGGTTGTGGTGTTGTGTGGACTCCTCAAACTTACAGCTGGTGTCTGCCTAGTTGGCAGTCTGAAGGATGATATGCTTTTAACGTGTGAGCTCTGACCCAGCTCCAGGTTGCTAGAGTCAGAGAAGTGTTGCATGGGTAGTGGTCTAAAGGATGGTGTCCTTCTAAGTGTTAGCTCTGACCCAGTTTCAGGTGGCTAGGGTTGGAGAGAGAGCTATACGGGCAGCTGGTGACAAGGATGGAGAAGCAGGAGGGTGACGACTAGATCAATCCCCACATTTTGGGGACTGGATTCATGGTGATCCTTACCACCCAGTTGGCAACTCTGGTGTGATTTGCCCCTTGCTTAGCACACCCCATCACTAGATCTGCAACCTTCCCACAGGAAAGAAGGAAAGAAACTTAAACTCTAGTTCCAACTAAAAGAAGAAAAGACCATGATTTATTATTCCAGGTGTCCTTAGCCTAAATCCTGTTATTGCTACACTAGTACTCACTGTTAAAGGGCTGTTCTAGCACTAAATCCCACACTGAAGTAAAGGGAAAAAGTGGCCAGGATGCCTGGCACTCAAATATTTGATAGATGGATGAATGAATGTAATATGACCGTGGCAATCTCTAAGGAATCAGCACGCAGGCTTCTATGCCCTACCTTGAGAAGTCTACTTAATGTCCCTTATAATTACCACATATTTCCCTTCCTTTCATCCAACTTTTCAAACAAATAGCTGCCATTAAGAATCCTTTGTTTCTTTACTATTTTCCTTTACTCCTTGCAATCTGGTGACTGGTCCAACTGCACTGTAATGGTTTTCAAAACATCAGAAGTGGCTGCAGGTCTCATACCTCCAAGTGCTCATAACACTCTTACACTTATTGAGTCAAATGTGACAACTTCAATTTTAAAAACAAAAGCCTTTTGTTCTAAACCCACACAGCAGCTCTTCTTTACAGCCTACTATACCTATCTCGTTACCATTACAATTTCCTAGGCTCCAAAACTCAAAACCTCTGACTCTTCCTGCTGGTACACCATCACGGCACCAAGCCTTGTTGATCACTGCTTAGAAAAAAAGTCACTCCCAATGGTCCTTTCTTTATCTTACTGTCAGAGTATAAAACCTCATTACCTCAAATAAAAGCCTCTGACAGACTCCCTCTCTTTTACTCTCACAATCCATACATACATAACCCCCTGACTAATCTTGCTAAGCAACATTCATCTTATCAGTAGCTATTTCCTAATCTTTCACAGGTAAGCATCAGGCCTTCAAGGACTTCCACACTTTGGTCCAGCCTCTGTACCCAGATGAACTGCCACTACACCTCTCTTCTCACCTCCCCAGTAAAGACCTTGTTCACTGCTTCCTTGCATCTTCTTTCAGCTTGCTTTCCTTTCTTGGAAGACCTCTTTTTCCCATTTGTCCATCCAACTTCTCTTCAATGTTCAATGGTAGCTCAAGTCTTACTTCCCCATCACTGACTACTTCAATGATGTCTTCTTATCTGAATTCCTACAGTACTTACAGTCAAAAAAACAATATTTAACTCAACGTCCTACTACCGTTTTTGTTTTGTATTAAAACATTTGAAAACTTAGTATGTCACATACCACTGCATTTATCTTCTTCCATGCCAGGAAAGTGCCACTCGGAGTCATAGGTTCTTTTCCCACAGACGAAGCCCTCCATTCTTCCAAAAGGCACTGTCTCAGCCCCACCTGCACCCAGTCTCCAGCACCTGAGGCTCCTCCTAAGTGGCACCGCACCAACTGATATCAGAAGACTGGATGTTCAGAGCAGACACTTTCTTCCTACTACCTTTTAATCATCGTTCCTTCTTTCACAGTTCAGATCCTTTAACTCCCCTGTATAAAACCCTTCAAGGGCTCACAGCTGCTCACCTCTTACCTGCCCTGTACACTTAATTTTTAGCCACACAACTTTGTTTCCTATTGCACCATCCTCATACCTCCTGGCTTTTGAACATGTTTCTTCTGTCTGGAATTTTCTTTCCCCTTCATCTGGAAAGACTTCTGCCCATTCCACAAGACTCAGCTTAAAGGCTCTGGGATGCCCTGACCATGGCCCCTGCTCCATGCTGTCACAGCAGCCTCAGTGGCTCTCTTCTGTAGCTTTTACCAAGCTGGATTAGAAGAGCTCCTTTACTGGTCCATCTTGCCTGGTACTGAGCTTCCTGAGAACAGAGACGGGTCATCTACTGACCTCAGTATTCTGGGTGCTCAAGAAAGGGCCTGGCACACAGTACGATTAATAGCTCCAACAATTTTCCAGATCCTGTAGAAGATACCAAGATTGAGATAACATGACCTTGCTTTTCCTGGGTGTTCAGGTTGGTAAAAAAAAGCAAGCTGTGAATGTAAATGATAGCAATATTATGGCAGAAAATGCTTATGTGCTGAAGGCCATAGAAGTTCAAAGGCAAGAGAGACTTTCTCTTCTGGCTGGGGATTCAGGAAAAGTTTCATGAAAGGTATGGCATTTGAAATGAATAGAATTTAGACCAGCAAAGACCTAGACTGGAGAGTAGGAGGTAGGTAAGAAGGGTGGTGTTCAGAGTTCCAAGAATAGCTTGAGAGTTTGAGCAAAACAGAGATGGAGAAGACTGTATATAGGAAAGAAGTTGTCTGGCTTGCCTCAACCTGAGAGTGGTTTTCAAACTTTCTGGCTAGCAAATACTAAGTACAGTTTAATTTTAGATTTGTATATATAAGGCAAAAACTGAAGCCTCCCTAGCTGAAGCAGAAATAGGAATCCAGAGCCCCAGCCATTCAGCTTCCCCCTATCCCATGGGCTCCATAAAAAAGTCTGAAAGCCACCAGTACAGATCCTAATTGGGATGGGAAGACTAGATGCAGGAAGGCCAGGGTAAAGATGCCTGCACTATTCTAGATGAGAGCCTAGACCCTAAGGCCTCATCTAAGACAGAAGAAATAGAAGGGGTAGATGCTAGACATTTGAGTCAGACTTAGCAAGTAAGTAGATAAAAGCTTTATTTGGGCACTGTGTTGACAGATAAACAAGGAAGAATTAAAAAAAAAAAAATTCCAAATTTAATTGTGCGTGCCTAAGGTGACAAGGGTAATGGAAGTACTTCTTGATTAAAACTAAGACCAAGACAGAAGAACAGTTGGAAAGTTGAGTTCAAGGTACCTTCATGTAAGTTCAAGGTACCTCCTTTGTGTTGCCAGTGCTCCCAGCACATTCCCATAATTGAAACCTGCTTGGCTTTCTCCTTCACCACACTGTAAACTGCTTTAGGGCCAAGACTGAATGATCCATCCTCACAAGTTCCATGTCTAGCACAGGGCCAAGGGGCCTGGGCATCCTCACTAAGAAATCTCCTGCTATGCACATTCACCAATACAGGATCTTTGGTGTTGCCCAGGAGATGACCCCTGCAAGTTCAGGCCAGTCTAGAGTACATGTTCTCAGACTTTCAACAATGGTTTCATACATGGTATCCACCCCACATAGACACTCTCATTCTTATTCCTGCTCTTCAGCTTCCAAATCAGTGGCAAAGACTTAACTTTATAATTTTACTTATTTATTTATATACCACCTTCAAGAAATAGCTTAAGGTAGATCATAGCAATACCTAAAATATAGTAAGGTTAAAAAATTCAAAGTAGGCGAAAAAGATAAAAGGAAACAAGCGTAGGGACAAAAAATGGATGCAGAATGAAGTTACCTAAAAAAGGCACATCATAAAGACCCACATGTTTATTATACGTAGGCCACAGATTCAGCACTACGATTTCTGGCTTTTATGTAAAAGGAAAAACTTAATCAACTACACAATATCCTAAAGATAAAAGCAAGCCAGCTGTTCAAGAGAAGCACACCATTTCTAATGCTAACAGACAAATTTCTCCCAAGGGCCCTTATAAAGGGGATAGTGTGATAGAATGAACACCTTTTCAGCAGTCACAGCAATGAGTTCCATGGGACTGTTTCTCATAGTTCCCTCAACACAGAATGACAGCATCTCACCAAAGGAGGTTTCAGTGAAGGCAATTCTAGATGAGATCAATATGCTACATTCCAAGTAAAAGAAAAACAAAATCTACATAAAAATAAACAAAAACTTACCAGGTACAGGTTTTAGAATAAAGTAATGGCTTGAAGCCTAGGCTACATATAAGAATCACTGATAAAACTGTTAAAAGTTACCAATGCCTAAACCCCATCCTGGACTAATCATATCAGAATCTCCTGGGGTGGGAACTCAACTTTTTTAAAGCTATCCAGTCCAGGTAATTCTAAAGCTTCACCAGAGATGCTTTTACAAAGTCTCAATGCTCAGGTCACACCCCAGGCCAATTAAATTAGAATCTCTGGGAATGCCGCCCAGGCATCAGTACTTTTCAAAGCTCCCCAGTCGAGCTCAATGTCCTGCCAAAGTTAACAACCACTGATCCAGACAATGGAGAGACTGACTTGCTATTCTTCAAGCAATGCTCCCTGAATACTGCTTCTCTCAGCTGAGCTTTGGATAGGTATTAAGCAGCAATGACACTGACATTATGCTTCCCAGTTCATTTATATCGTCAGATAAATATGGACCCAAATGCCTTAATCGATGGTGCAGCTGGGGTAGGTTGGACTTTTACGAAAACTGAGGAAACTGCCTGAGTTGGGGGACATCTTGCCACCATCTGGCGGGGAACTGAGGGAAATCCTGAAAGCAGGATCAAATCTATCTTTTGAAAGTGTACTTGGATTCACTCTAACGATCTAAAAAAATGGTCAATCAAGTTCCAGAGTTTTATTTCCAATGTACAGATACAATACTTTCAGCAAGAAAACATTTTCAGAGAAGTTAAGCCAACAGTCATCCAAGCCTTAAGAAAACAATTCAAACATCTAGTTTTAAAACAATGCTTCTTTCTGAAGATTTGTGAGCTAACTGAATGAAGTGACTTGTCACATTTGTTTATCTATAAACCAGTCAGAAGTCAGGAAATATCTACCAAAGGCAGTTTTAGAATCGTTGCCAAGTAGTTCTTCCAGACTATGATTAATAGCTGAGCCAGGAAGATCAGCAAATCCCAGTAACAACCTGTATCAAGTTGAATCTTGAAAAGAAAACCTAAAAGAGAATATCCAGCAAAAAGTTACAGGAGGCTGATGACACTCGCTCATACCCTAAATTGAGTGTTGGTTCCACCCCTGGCTTTTATGCAAAAGCTTATGAGATAACCAAACATGCTTAGAGTGTCTGCCTAAAGTCTGAGAATGTGAGCCGGTAGGAGAGGCGATGTGCTTCTCTAATTACAAAGCAAGGCTGAACTGAAAACTAAGATGCTCAGCTTTAGTGGCTACAGAGGCAGCAGATGAATGAAGCTGTATTCTACCCGAGTTACAGCTGCTGCTTCCAACATAATGGCAGAGGATACTACCACACAGCCACTGGCTCAGGAGGAAGCCCTAGAAGAATCTAAATCTTTTTCCAGGCCCTTCATGGAGTACATATCCTGTGATACTAGGTCCAGGCCCAGACATTCCAGACTTTTATTCTCTGCTACCACTGATAACTGTCTTTAATGTGAGTCTCCTTTTCCTAGATATTATTTTCCAGTTCTTCTATAACAACAATAAATCGAGAAGAGTGGAGGTAGAGGGTGGGTGCACAAAAGATGGGCTATGTGTATACAAAAGCATAAGAAAAATTTAGTGACCTAATATAAAAGACAAAGTAAGGGATTGAAAAAAGATCAAAGCAAGGCAAAAGAAAAAAAGAAATTCAGATACCAAAAAAAAAAAAAAAAAGTGGTATAGCCATAGAAAGACAAGCAAGAAACCTGACAACAGAATTAAGTGCCTGCCACAATTTATTTATGTGGGAAGTGCTTTAAGATTTGATTTCAAGTGTGGCCAGCTTCATAAACTAGCTTTTCAGTTGTACAATGTGAAGACACAACGCTGAAGGTTTCTGGAAAGCAACTATGATCATGAAGAAAACCAAAACAACCTAAACCCGTTGCCGTTGATCTCGATTCCAACTCATAGCGACCCTACAGGATAGAGCAGAACTGCCCCATAGGGTTTCCAAGGAGTGGCTGGTGGATTCGAACTGCTGACCTTTTGGTTAGCAGCCTAACACCTAACCACAGCACCACCAGGACTTCGTGATCATGAAGACCATGCCTAATAGGAGGTTTGAACACCGTCCTAACCGTGCTCCAACACCAACCTAGAGGACCAAAAGTACTCCACAGGTGTGATGTCTGGGGGACCTGGGGATTTCAGAGTACCTGTTCCTGTCTGAATTGATTCGATGGCAACGGGTTTAGTTTGGTTTGGTTCCTCTTTACTAGGAAGCCAGTTCTTCAATCACAGGCCAACCTGCTATGAAAGGTCGCAGGCCTTCTCTGGCTTTCCCCAAGAATTACACCCAGAAAGGTGAATCATTAAGAAAACGAATTATTTGTGCTTTCATCATACTTATCCTGAGCAAACCAGGTAGATTTGAAGACACAGCCATAAGGCTAGCCACTTTTTTTTTTTTTTTTGCCTATCTCAAATCGTTTCCACTATAGACTTGAAATCTCCAATCGAAAAGGACAGCACTACGATGCTGCACTTGTTGCCAAAAAGCCTTAAAGAGGTCTCAAATGGTCTCCAGCAAGCCCAACCTCTGAAAAATCTGCTGTGAAATGTGTTCCCAAAGGCGATGACCTCTTAGCAGACGACCTTAGATCCACTGTGATCCCAGTTACGGTGGTTCCTGTCACAAAGGTCCCTCTGACAATCTTCAAAACCATACTGGTTTAAGGTTACACACAATAAGTGCACTATACTCTTGTACTCAAGTTCACTTAGAAACTTGTTAGAGATGCAGAATCTCAGGCCCTACTGCATATCTACTGAACCATAACTTGCATTTTAACAAGATCTCCAAGTGATTCATGTGAAGAAGCGCAGCACTACCACACTACAGCCATCAAGCGGCGCAACTGGAAGCTCCCGGGCTGCCCTACTCCCGGAAGGGTAGGAGATGGGGGACGCCAAGCCAGCACCTCTGCTCAAGAGCCGAGATAGGGACCGGGTACTGCTGGCTTCCTTCCGTCTGGACCCCGTCCGAGCCCCGTTCGGTGGCGATAAAACTCCGAGGGTGCGTGTTCGGTCAAGGCGTCAGGTCCGCCACGGATTGGTCACACGGTCCTCGCCCAACCTGCCCCGACCTCTCACCTGCTCCAGAGGGAGTGGCTGGAGAGGACTCCGAGCCCCGTGTCGAAACACGACCTGCACCATTTTCAGCTCTAGTAGGTTGCGGTCGACAGGATTCCGGCGGTCTGCCTCCTGCGGTTCGGCCAAAGCTGCCTTCCGCTGGTGGAGGCAGTATGCCAGCGAGGTCAGGACTCCCACCGGGGCCCACACGCGCATGCGGAAGACACCGGTGATCATGGTGGTAACCCCTCGGCAGCTCTCCGCGGCGAGGATGCAAGGGGCGAGCACAAGCCCTCCCCGGGTGTCGGAGCTCAGCGGCCTCCTTCAAGTTCGCAGAGACAGGCGGGCGCACACATCCAACCCCCGAACAAGTGGAGACTGCTGCAACTCCTAACCCTGAGGGTATCCCCGCTTGGAAGCGTGAGAAAACAGGTGGGAGGAGCGAAGATCTTCCCGCAGAAACCCTGGGGATTTTAACTGGCGTCGGGATCGGTCGCTTCGGCTGCAGACTGGGCCCGGGGGAAGTCAGCTCCTCATCTTTCGCCCTGCAGGGAACCTTAAACTTGAATTCCAAGTTTGGCCTCCAGCTCTTGAAGGACAGATAGCCAACCCTTAGCTCCTCGGTGGTCAGTGCTCCACTAACACAGACGACGCAGATACTACTTTTCTGTGAGCAAGTTTTCTTCCACTTACTCACCCGTCCAGTAACCTGTCCCAAGAGGACTCGCGCAGAGGAGCGCGGGAAAACGAGTCCTGCTGTGGCGCCTCGTACGGCGCTCCAAGTTGTGAGAACTACAATTCCCACAAGGCTGCGCGCGACGGGGGCCCTCAAGGAGCGGGATTTCCCCGCCCCGGGCAGGGAGCCTGGTCCCTCAGGCCCAGCCCACCAAAGTCTCCAGGCCTAGGTGGCCAGCGCACGTGCCTGAGCCGGGCGTGGAGTAGAGTGACTCTCCGGAACTATTGATTTTGTTATACCGGGATAGCGAGGAGCCAGGATAGAGGTTGAATGAGTGGTGGAGGGGAGTATTTTGAGTCTAGCGAGTGTAGAAGACTTTCTTGAAGTCCTGAAAGCGGTATTGCTAAGAGCCGAGATGCTACTGAGTGATTACCATTTGCGAAGCGCTTTTTATTTAAAATTCATTTACTATCTCCCTTCTATGTCTGACGAGCCCTGGTGGCGCAGTGGTTAAGAGCTCAGCTGCTGACCAAAAGGTTGGCAGTTCAGATCCACAGCCGCTCTTTGGAAATCCTGTGGGGCAGTTCTACCCTGTCCTATAGAGTCGCTAAGAGTCAGAATCCATTCGATGGCAACGCGTTTGGTTTTTGGGTTCTATGTGTAAATAATTTCCCAGACTTAAATCGTCTCAGTCATGTAGAACTATTAAGATCTCTGATGTGTTTACTTCCACTCAGAATACTTTTGTGGAAAAATCCAGGCCTTGTCTTCGTGTGTCCCAGTGATCCTATAAGCACCTTTATTACCCAGAAGAATGCCAATCTTACTTACTGCCAATCTAGTTTCTCTAGAGTATACAGCTACCCCAAGCCTCTGTTCCAGATCACTGCAACAGGACACAATCTGAACTGTATCTTTCCGAAGGCAAAGACTAAGTTGGGGGTGGGGGTGGGGCAGATATTTGTGGAAAAGTCTGAATATGTACCATCTAACCATTTTTTAAATCATTTTAAATTCGATCCTTGGAAAACAAAACTGGACCAGATGTGAAGGTAACATACTTACAGAGCATAGCTCCTGACCTGAATCTACACTCTGTTCCCCAAGCTAGAAGCTTCTGAATGCCCCAGGATGGGAGGAGGGTAGTTTTGAGGCACTGCATGTTGTCATAATTTTCCCTCTGGCCCAGCACATGGATTTACCTTTTGGAGTCTTATTATGCGTCCTGATGTAATTAAAAATTGAACACTGTTGTATTATAGCCTCAGTAAGGCATCAAGAGCACCAGGCAACACTGCTTCAAAAAACCCGAAAACCAAATCTGTTGCCTTCGAGTAGATTCCAACTCATAGTGACCCTATAGGACAGAGTAGAACTGCCCATAGGGTTTCCAAGGAGCAGCTGGTGGATTCCAACCGCCGACCTTCTGGTTAGCAGCCAAAATCTTAACCATTGTACCACCAAGGCTCCAACACTGCTTCAGAACTCATATATCCAAATGTAACCCCAAAGGTTAACCCAACTAAACCCACTGCCATGGAGTCGATTCCAATTCATAGTGACCCTCTAAGACAGAGTAGAACTGCTTCATAGGGTTTCCAAGGCTGTAAATCTTATGGAAGCCAACTGCCACATCTTTCTCCCTCAGAGAGGCTGGCAGGTTCAAACCTCTGACCTTTTGGTTAGCAGCCAAGCCCTTTAACCACTGTGCCACCAGGGCTCCCCCTAAAGGTTGGGAAGAGCTATTCTCAACAGTTCAGCAAGAACACGGGGCAGCTTCAGTGTAGAAAACCAAAAACACCAAAACCAAACCTGTAACAGTTGAGTCAATTCTGACTCATACCGACCTCATGTGTTAGAGAATAGAACTGAGCTCCATAGGGTTTCCTTGGCTGTAATCTTCCCGGAAGCAGAGTGTCAGGCCTTTCTTCTGCAGCAGTGCTGGCTGGGTTCCAACTGCCAACCTTTAGGTTAGTAGTCGAACGCAAACCATTTGCACCACCCAGGGACCTTTTCAGTGTGGAAGGGCCCTGGTAGTTCAGCAGGCTCAGCAGCTTCAGCAGCCCTGGTTGTTTAGCACATCTAAGCAGCAATGTAATGTTGGCATCTAGGTGCCAAACCTTCTGCAATAATGGACAGGGCAACTCTAGTCCACACCCTGCACTCTGGCAGCCTTGGTATCTATCACCTTTGGACTGTACCAGCAGTAACTGCAGCTTGTTCTGCCTGGGTGCACGTGTGTGTGTGTGTGTGTGTGTGTGTGTGTGTGTGTGTGTCTAGGGGGGTTGGGTAGAAGGGGAAGAAGGGTGGAATGTCTTAGCAGCGGCTCTCTGCAGGAAGCCAGAGCAAGTGAGGTTGGAAAATGACAAATTCCATGTGTAGATGAAAGCACTGATCGTCAGCACATGCGAGTCAACCCTTGGGGAGTCCTATAAATATTTTGTGTATGCTGTATGGTGGCGATGGTGAGCTGGAGTTTAAGAGAGGCTAGAAGTCCTTGAAATCGTGCTCTGGGGACAGACCCAGGAAAAAACAAAACAGAACAAACAAAAAGCGCCTATTATCGTGACCCTGGTTGATAAAACTTCAGGCAGCCATGGCTTGGGAAACAAGTCCTTCTCCCACCAATTTGTCTTCAGTGGGTTACACTTACTATTATGCAAAAATTTGATTTTAATCACAAGATTAGATAAGAAACAACGACATTCACTGTTTTATCTCCTGGAATAAGCACAGTGCTCCGTAAATATTTATTTTCTGTAAGTACTCCATCAATAATTATTGAATGAAACTGCAAGATATATTGTAGAAATGTTGTTGAAGACTTTGCCCATTACGTCACTAATTGCTCTCTCTATAAATCTCCTGAGGAATTTGTTTGAGAGCAAAGTGTTAGCATTAGAATAAGCATCATTAAGAAACATGAACACCACCTTTCTTTCTTTTTTGCCTTAGCTGCCAGGAAGCAAATATTTAGCAATAGCAACTATTTTGACCCTAACAGTTAAGTGCTCAGCTGCTAAACTTTTGGCAGTTGAAACCCACCTAGTGGCTCCCAGGGAGAAAGACCTGGTGATTTGATCCCATAAAGATTACCAAAACAAAACAAAAATACCAAACCCATTGCTGTCGAGTCAATTCTGACTCATAGTAACCCTATAGATTAGAGCCTAGAAAACCCTAAGAGGCAGTTCTGCTGTTACACGGGGTTGCTATGAGTCGAAATAGACTCAACAGCACCCAACAACAACAATGGCCAGTAAAAAGGTCCCTGGGTGGAGCAAATAGTCTTGCTTGACTAGACTGAAAGGTTGGCAGTTCAAATCCACCCAGCAGTGCTGCGGAAAAAAGGCCTAGTGATCTGCTTCTGTAGGACTACAGCCACTGAAAGTCCTATGGAGTGCAGTTGCACTCAGACACTCATAGGGTAGCCATGAGTTGGAACTGATTCAACGGCAACGAGTTTAGCCAGTATAACTGATCTTTTCCTCCTGAGTATCACTGTGGATTGGAAGGAGCAAAACTGGAGAAGGGACAGTTAGGAGGATGTTGCAGCAACCCAGGTGTAACACATTTAGGAGGTAGCGTCAACAATAGAGAGTGAGGGGGAGGAAGGAATCAAGGATGACTCCTAAATTTCTGGGTTAGGCAACTTGCAGATAATGCCATTCACTTGGTGAAGAGGTTAAGCAGAAGTGAGCAAGTAATTGTAGTTATGCAGATTAAGAGGTACCTATGAGACATCTAAGAACATGTTCCGCATTTGTCAAGTTGAAAGAGCTGAAGAAAAAATTCAAGCCTCTAGTTGCAACAGTGAAAGATTCTATGGGCAAAAAATTGAATGACACAGAAAGCATCAAAAGAAGGTGGAAGGAATACACTCACTGTACCAAAATGAATTGGTTAACGTTCAACCATTTCAGAAGGTAGCATATGATCAGGAACTGATGGTACTGAAGGATGGGGTCCAAACCGCACTGAAAGCATTGTCAAAAAACAAGGCTGCAGGAATTGAAGGAACACCAATTGAGATGTTTCAACAAACGGATGCAGTGCTGAAACTGCTCACTTGTCTATGCTAAGAAATTCGGAAGACAGCTACCTGGCCAACCAACTGGAAGAGATCCATATTTGTACCCATTCCAAAGAAAGGAGATTCTACAGAATGTGGAAATTATCAAACAATATCATTAATATCACATGGAAGTAAAATTATGCTGAAGACAATTAAAAAATAGTTGCAGCAGTACCTGGAAGGGAACTGCCAGAAATTCAAGCCGGATTCAGAAGAGGATGTGGAACAAGAGATATCATTGTTGATGTCGGACAGATCTGAGAAGCTGGACTATATGAAGAAGAACACAGCATCTGGATTGGAGGAAGACTTATTAACAACTTTTGATGTGTAGATGACACAATTTTGCTTGCTGAAAGTGAAGAGGACTTGAGGCACTTACTGATGAAGATTAAAGACCACAGCCTTCAGTATGGATTACACCTCAGCATAAAGAAAACAAAAATCCTCACAACTGGACCAATAAGCAACATCATAATAAATGGAGAAAATATCAAAGTTGTCAAGGATTTCATTTTTCTTGGATCCACAATCAACGCCCATGGAAGCAGCAGTCAAGAAATCAAACGACGTATTGCATTGGGCAAATCTGCTGCAAAAGACCTCTTTAAAGTGTTGAAAAGCAAAGATGTCACTTTCAGGACTAAGGTAAGCCTCACCCAAGCTATGGTATTTTCAGTCACCTCATATACATGCAAAAGCTGGACAGTGAATAAGGAAGACTGAAGAAGAATTGATGCATTTGAATTATGGTATTGGTGAAGAATATTGAATATACCATTGACTGCCAGAAGAACAAACAAATCTGTCTCGAGAGAAGTGCAGCCAGAATGCTCCTTAGAAGCGAGAATGGCGAGACTTCGTCTGACGTACTTTGGACATGTTATCAGGTGGGACCAATTCCTGGAGAAACACATCATGCTTGGTAAAGTAGAGGGTCAGTGAAAAAGAGAAAGACCCTCAGTGAGATGGACTGACGCAGTGGTTGTGACAATGGGCTCAAACACAGCAATGATTGTGAGGATGGCACAGGACCAGGCAGTGTTTCATTCTGTCATACATAGGACTGCTGACCCGGAAGCGACTCAACAGCACCTAACAACAACGACATGCCATTAATCCTCATCCTAACTCAAGTGGTAGGTCCTGTTACCATTTCATAGGGAAAGAAACTGAAGTTAGAGAAATTAAGTAACTTCCCTAAGGATAAAGGAATCTCAAATACTGCAGCCTGAGTAGCCTGAATTTGAACCCATGTCTGTCTGACTTCTAAGTCTGCACTACATTGCTAAACTTATATTAGTGGTGGCGGTGGAGGTGGAGGTAATTTACGTACCGGTAATTTGAGTGGTATTTAGCATGGGTGATAGTCCTTTAACATCTGAGATTGAAACTATGTTTTTCCTTCATAACTTTTCTCCA